TTCGCCCGTTGAAAGGCAATTATGAGGGAGCAGTCACGCGCTACCATGGCCACAAGATGGTTCTCCACCTAGAAAGAAGAAAAAAGCGTGCGGGTGTAGGGTGGCAACACATATGTGGGCAAGGCTGACTTCGTTTGCGTGACAAAAACGTCTTGAAGTCGGGACACGGACAGTTGAGCTGCAGTAAAGTATGCAATTAACAGTAAAAGGAAAGTAGTTCCATTAGGGAACCTAGTAAATTAGCGTCACCCTTATTTATCGGGGCCTAGTTGCGTGGATCTGGACTGCAGCTACTAATAACTGGACCTGGTTGTGTTCCTCAGTCTGGCCGGGCGTGGCGTTTGGCAGAGGGTACAGAGTTCAGATTAAAAAAGCTGCTGCTCAGTTGCTCAAATGTATCCAACTTTCATTAGAAAGGACAAATTTTACCCAAAATATTTAATGAAATTAAAAAAGACTTTTTAATAGACTCAATGCCCTTCTTATCCCGGAATTATGACTTTTGAAAACTTTAGATTTGCACCTTCGTTATTACGCAAGAGACTGAGCACGGGCTTCACCACTCTATCACGGGGATCAAAATTGCTGTTAAGTGCTTTTATAAGTAGTATGAAAACCACATGGCACAAATATAAGGACATAGCTTGAAATGCAAAAACTGAAACATACGAGAGTGAGGCTTTCCACGACTTCTCGCGGCGCCTTCGATTTGTCCACGTCCACCTTGCCCGCAATGAAGGAATTCCTTAAATTGGGAATTAATATGGTAACATAGCAAAAAATCCGAAAGCCAGCATCTTCTGAGAGCAAGAAGCGTCTAACCGTGTATAAAGGTGGAAAATGAAAAGAGGCCTTTTGGCGATTGGACAAACCTTCTACCATTTCACCTCGCACTTTTTTTATTCTGCGGGCTAATGAGCAACAATAGAAACTACCAGCTGTATGAACTTTTCTACCGGCAAGTGAGGCATACTGTTACGCAGTTAAAATAAATAGTTGGACATGAAGCCATGAACTGAATGATGTACTACGGCAAACAGGCTAATCCGGGGTAGTTCTTTCAAGTAAGACCGTAAAATTAACTTTATAGCTCTAGTCATGGACCATGTGAATTAAGATAAAAATTCAATTCGATAATGTAGTCATTGGTAGTGAATAGGGTGTAGAGTCAAGACGGGAGATGTCTAGCGCTGCTTATGCTCGTGACTTCACCTTTTCTCAGTCATGCCGGGCGAGGTCAGGAGCAAAAACAGCACTATTCTCGTCCCAACATCTTGTGGACCTCAACGAAATCTTCTGGATGATTTATAACGTCTCACCAAACCATACAAAATCCCTGGGTCAGCGCCTACTAGCAATAGCAGAAACAACCGCTATCAGGTTGAGGAAACCGGTCTTGTGTGCAGAAGCTCCTGCAGGCTCCGCGGCTGGCATGTACCGACTTGTTACGGCTGTGATCATGCCCGATCTAGCCTGGCATGGTCAACGGTCGCTCAACTGCATGCACTTTTGCGCGCTTCCCACCCCCTCCCCCCCTTCTCCTTGCTCCGAACCGGCTCCACCAAACTCTCACCGCCACGAAACCAGCCTCAACTTATCCACCCCCCTTCCATATTCAATTTTACGAAAAGATGAAAATTATTGACTATGTGCTTTAACTTCTACCCATTTCCATATTAATGCACTGGCCTGATGAGCATTTATGGAAGGCTCCCGTATGCCCGCCAACTGCTCGCTGCTGAATCACATATTCGTTTTCTAAAAATAGGAGAGCACAGGCTACTTCAACGCACCACTTAATGTGGTTCTCATCAAAGTAGGTCCGCACGCGGTTAAAGTGCGGAATGATATCCTTGTGGCCAAGACTGCTAAGCATTTGGGCGGCCAAAATGCGGCCCAGGACGGAGTTCAGGGGAAGATCCGACTGATCGTCACCTAAAAATAAAAAAATAGAATGAGGGCTGCATTTTTGCTTTCACACAAGTCCACCAAACACACGCAAGAGTAGTGATGAAAGTGAGGAGGATACCTGGAAAAGGTATACAATGAAGCACACTAATGGATATAAGCCTTCAAGATACAGAAGGGCTTAATATTAGCGGACAATCCCAAGGCACCGACCGAGTTCCTGCTATATGCGAAAGCGAGCCTTTCACTACTAAGCGTGTATTGCATAGGCTGGGGAGGGCGGGGGAGTCGGCAAACATTCCGATATTCATGCACTGTCGAGTGTGAAATAAAGCTTACGGTCCCGTAAT